AACCCATTAAGTTCAAAGAGAATATGAACATCACAAGAATCCTAATAGCATGGTGTTTACATTAGGTATTCAAGAAACCAATTCATATGGATGATTCTTACTTCATCCATTTATTGCTTAGGATAACATGAAGATACACATAATGCCAACAATCTCAAGAAGCATGCTTTCAAAGATGGCCAACCAAGGAAATACACACATCAAGGATAGATTAATTTGGTGAATTGGAAGTCAAGATGACACAATGGAGGTAAAAGCTGGCCAATTTCGGATTTCCAGAGCTGTGGTAACATGCTGGATTGGTTGGATATGCAATACTTGTCCAATGGAGCTCAAATTTGGATATGTTGTAGTCAACATCCATTGGAACAAGTTTCATGAAGATCTTCACCTCATCCGAGCACCAGAGCATGTTGATCCCAGGCCAAGAAGTTGACCTACGAAAATGAACAAAAACAGAATTTATAACCAATAATGCACTTTTAGCTCATTTTCATTCTAACCAAGGTAAAATCTAAGAAAACACAAAAAGGAAGTAAAAAGCTATAAAATGTCAAGAACTAACTCAAAATAATAGGTGAATAACATGAAAAATCATGTGTAAAAATGAACCGAACAGATGTCAGACACAGGTTAGTGTTCAATGTGTTATAGCTTAGAAGGATTAACATGTGGTATTAGAGCTTTAGTTATATCATGTTCTACCTAACAAATCTCGTGTAGGAAAATTAAAGAAAACAAACTGACAGTTTTTAAGTTATTAAGCATGAACATGATAACAGTATAAAGAATGAACTTTATCATGCTCTTGACAATTTTATTGATCAATGCTTGCAGTCCTTTTGTAGTGATTGAGCAAGCCAAAGCGGCTCAATTATTGTATAATCACTGTATTCAAAGTTCATGATCTAAAATTTGCATCATGGTACAAAACATATCGAAAGGCTTTTTGTCCAAAGATGTAAGCAGTTCGATATAATTTTTAATGATTTGTCCTATCGATATTAAAAACAACAATTTCTTGCCAATTCATAATCTCTTATAAACCTAATTATTGGACGACATTAATAAGGTCCAATGGATTATACGCATGGTAAAAAAATTTGTTGTTCTTAACAATGTTTATGTTGAACAACATGACTACTTAATTAAGTAGTCCATGTATGATGATAAACAGAGTATACAATAACAGGTGCAGTCAAGAGTAAATACAGAGCAATGGAATCCAATGCATACAATCTCCAGCTCAGCAATATTCTAGAAACTGGCCATATATCCTTCCTACTCTAGAAACTAGCCATATATCCTTCCTACACTTGTCGTCATCTCCGTATTCTTTGTAACCAATTTTATTCTAGATTATTCTTTTCCTTTGTATATAAACAGTGTTATTTTCACTGTACAAGTATGAATGAGAAATACAATTCCAACCTTTTCTTTTCTCTGTTCTTAATTCTTAACATATGATTGAAGTAAAATAATGAAATACATAAATTGAAATTACTTTTCATGGAGAATTGTGATGCATAAAATATCCTAATTATTTGCATATCATGGTAAGTGAAGTTAAATAGTAATTGAAAAATCATGTAGTTATAGAAAATTACAAAAATAAAACAAAACAAAAGTAGGTTACTATAACGTGACAAGAAATGAAATATTTTTTATCCGATTTGATCTTGGTTTAGTCATGTATAGATCAACGCCAAGTGTGTTTTAGTTGAAACCCTATTGAAGTAGGAGTTAAAATGAATCCAAGTCAAAAACTCGAAAATATTTAGTATAAGTACTCTATAGTACTTATGCTATTGAAAAAATAAATTTGAGGGGTGCGTGCGATAATTACGTACCCAAAGTCGATGAATGTGATCTCCTTATTTGTTGTTGGTGTAATAAATAAGGAGATCTTGAGGATTTGTGCTCCCTAATGTGGAGTCTTGCTGGGCTTCTTCCATTGAGCCCAACCAAATCTTGTATAAGGCTTGTTGGGCACATGGGCCCACATAACCCACTCTTTCTTTAGCATTGCTAGGCTGACCATAAAAACATGTGCAGCACATTGATTTGGGGTTGTATCTCATCCGGAAGCGACAACAAGATTTGGAGGTTGTAGAAATATCGAACTGGACAACGACCGATGTATTTTTCATGGTATGTCATAGGGCTTGACCAAGTGCAGTTAATAATTACAAATTATCCATACTTGCTTTGTGGAGGTGTTTAACCATTGATTGTTTTCTATTTCACAGAATCACATCCATACTTGCTTTGTGGATAATAAAAGAAAAAAAGAGCAGGCTGGGTGGAAAATTAGAAATAGTTTAGTGAACGTTGTAAATGGCAAGGTTCCGGCGTGTGGGGTGGATTGGCAGAACGTGTATAAGGTGTATGCCCCTTGTATGTTGACGAAGCATAAGCATTGGGTGGCTCTAATGATTGATCTGGTTAAGTGTGAAATCAAAGTGTACGATTCAATGGTTTCAGTTATTCCAGATGAGATGTTAAAGGAAGAACTCGCCCCGCTTTCAATTACGATTCCAAATCTTCTCAACTCCATCGACTTTTATGAAGAAGGTGTTTACGCAAACGACTGCAGCAGAGATTGGTGGTGTCCATGGCCAATAGAACGTGTGGATGTTCCACAACAATCTAATCAGTGAGCACAACTTTTTCTTTAATTTTATTACTTGAAATTGTCAATTACGTTACAATGTCATTACTTGAATTGATCGAGTTCTTGATTTGCTTCAGAGGCGATTGTGGCATGTTTGTGTTGAAGTACATTGAGCTTTTGAGCGCTGAGATTCCGTTAGCTACTTGCACCGCGCAGAACATGCCCTTTTTCCGGTTGAAGTTGGCTGCAGAGATATTACGGGGAGATGCTTACATGCCATGATAGTGGTTGAAATGGGTTCAGGTACGTGATGATTAAATTGGTTTTGGAAATCTCCAATTTGAAAGTCATGTAAATACACAATACAGATCCACGGCTCCTTTTCGAATTCTACCTCTGCTCCTCAATTCTTCTTCGTCTTTCTCAATCTTAGTGTATTTTTGTACATAATTTTAAGTTTAAGTTATTGGACAACAATTAGAACCAAAATATTATTATAGCGGATGCATGCTTTCATTTTGATTAGTGTGATACTACGCTACGTTTATTCTCATATTAGGCTAAATGTATATAGTAGCTGGATGCAGAGCATGGACAGAAAAATGAAGAATCTGAAATGGAGATGCAGAGGCTTAGTGAGGAGAAAAGTAAATGGATCTGTAAATCTAGTGCACGTGGGCAAATGTAAATGGATAGGCATATGCGTTTTTGAAGTTAGGCACATGCCATTCCCATACATAGAATGTGCATCTGGAGTGTAAAGTTTTTTTGGATTTAATGAAACAAATATCTCTGTAATATTGCCCTAACTCCTTCACGACATTTACATAACCTTAACCAAACTGCATTGAATTGGGATTGGAAGACTGCATATGTGAACAATGACTGATGGCTTTTTAAAGTGTATTACATTATTGCAAAGTAATATGTCATGATTTATCCAAGCCACCATTCCAAATATCAGATCCCAATCTTTAAGCCGTTCACCATGCCTTAACTTCATCGCAATGGGTTGCGTGTGTATTGATTGTAATTCTGTAAGGGAAATAGGCGGTTATGCCCTCGCCTCCAATGTTTTATTCAACCCTGCCCTCTTTATAGAAACACATGCGATATACATGCAGTAACCCTTCAGTAAACATTCAGTAAACCGTCAATAAACCTCAATAAAACTTCAATAAACATTTCCCATCTGCAATGCTATAAAAACTTCCTATTGGTTCCGTACCGCCCATCGGGTTTGAATCCCTCTTTCCTTTATAATCGGTTAATAAATTCGTTGATTTTCTTTATTTTATTGGTCTTGGGCAGCTCAGTAGCATAAAAGTAATGTATATTGGTGCATCTATATTGCTTGTCTATTGTGTCTATATTGCTTGTCTATTGCGTGCATAGCGTACATTTATTGCGTGTGTATTGATTGTTTATTGCTTACGAAGGAAATAAACAACAATACACAGGCAACAGACAAGCAATATACACGCAATACACATGCAATCTATACGCAATAGACATGCAATATACATCAGTCCCTAATTTCACCATCCATAAGGGAGTCGTATCGATTAGGAAATTCTACTGAATAGTTGTTCTTCCTACTAATAAACAATCAATAAACCTTCAATAAACATTCAATATCGGACAATAACATGCGAAATACATGCAGTACACAATCAATAAACCTTCAATAAACATCCAATATCCGATAAATAACATGCGATACAGATGCAGTACACAATCAATAAACCTTCAATAAACATCCAATATCCGATAAATAACATGCGATACAGATGCAGTACACAATCAATAAACCTTCAATAAACATCCAATATCCGATAAATAACATGCGATACAGATGCAGTACACAATCAATAAACCTTCAATAAACATCCAATATCCGATAAATAACATGCGATACAGATGCAGTACACAATCAATAAACCTTCAATAAACATCCAATATCCGATAAATAACATGCGATACAGATGCAGTACACAATCAATAAACCTTCAATAAACATCCAATATCCGATAAATAACATGCGATACAGATGCAGTACACAATCAATAAACCTTCAATAAACATCCAATATCCGATAAATAACATGCGATACAGATGCAGTACACAATCAATAAACCTTCAATAAACATCCAATATCCGATAAATAACATGCGATACAGATGCAGTACACAATCAATAAACCTTCAATAAACATCCAATATCCGATAAATAACATGCGATACAGATGCAGTACACAATCAATAAACCTTCAATAAACATCCAATATCCGATAAATAACATGCGATACACATGCAGTAAACAATCAATAAACCTTCAGTAAACCGTCAATAAACCTCAATAAAACTTCAATAAACATTTCCCATCTGCAATGCTATAAAAACTTCCTATTGGTTCCGTACCGCCCATCGGGTTTGAATCCCTCTTTCCTTTATAATCGGTTAATAAATTCGTTGATTTTCTTTATTTTATTGGTCTTGGGCAACTCAGTAGCATAAAAGTAATGTATATTGGTGCATCTATATTGCTTGTCTATTGTGTCTATATTGCTTGTCTATTGCGTGCATAGCGTACATTTATTGCGTGTGTATTGATTGTTTATTGCTTACGAAGGAAATAAACAACAATACACAGGCAACAGACAAACAATATACACACAACAAACAAGCAATATACACGCAATAGATATGCAATATACACGCAATAGACATGCAATACACATCACTCCATAATTACACCAACCATAAGGAAGCCGTATTGAATAGGAAATTATACTTAACAGTTGTTCTTCCCACTAAAAGAAAGAATAAGGACTGTTTTCCCCCTTAAATATAACTCTTTAAATCTTACTTGAGTGGTACGTTTGCCCCCAATAAACATGCAATATTGGAGCAATAACATGCGATATACATGCAGTAAACAATCAATAAACCTTTAGTATACGCCAATAAACAATCTACCTATTTCAAGAACAATAAACATGCAGTACACAATCAATAAACCTTCAATAAACATCCAATATCCGATAAATAACATGCGATACAGATGCAGTAAACAATCAATAAACCTTCAATAAATATTCAATATCGGTTCAATAACATGCGAAATACATGCAGTTAACAATCAATAAACCTTAATACATGCAGTAAACAATTAATAAACCTTCAATAAACATTCAATAACATGCGAAATACATGCAGTAAATAATCAATAAACTTTCAATAAACATGTAAACAATCAATAAACCTTCAATAAACATTCAATATCAGAGCAATAACATGCGATTAAACATTCAATATCGGAGCAATAACATGCGATATACATGCAGTAAACAATCAATAAACTTTAAGTATACGCAAATAAACAATCTATATACACTGAATAATTGTGCAATTTTCAAAAAAAATGTATTGTCTTAATATTGCATCGTATTGGCCCTGTATTGTGATTTTATCGTCTTCATATGACTTTATTTTTTTTAAGTCAGTCTTGGAAAGTTTTTGCTGGGTTTCAGACAAATAAATGCTTTTGTTTCAAACAATAATTTAAACTCAATGCCAATCCACCTATTTCAAGAACAAAAATTACAAAATGGGTTTGAAACTCATTGGTGGTGCGTGCAACTTGTCTTTTTGGGGAGAACTTTTACAATCCTTGAAACCGTACACTTAATTGGTCATTAAAAGAACAAATATTATGACAATTGATACAAGTAATAAAACTAATACAAAGCCCTTAATGGACTTCAGCATATTCAGCATTGTAGCATCATACGTGTCATCTTGTTGTTCTGCTTCAGCAAAGGTTACATCAACCCATTCGAATCCATTGCAACTGGTGGCTCCCTAATTGCAAGCATCATATATGCAAAATAATTCTGTCAGAGTTAGACCTAGGTTTTTTTCACCCACATACATATTCTGGAAATGAAAACTTACATAGGAGGTTAGACACTTCCAAAATGGCTTCCCTCGATTTTTATCTGATTTTGAAGCCCGAAGCACCATTGCAGCTCCACAATACTAACGCCTCTTTGTTTGAGCGGGAGATGAAGACGAAGACATGTTGAATCTTCTCACTTGTACCTCTTCTCACTCAGATCCTCTCACTGAAACCTCTTCGACTCATACCTTCTCACTCATAGTTCTCAGTCATACCCCTTCACTCATAATCCTAAACTTCTCACTCAGCTCTCTCTCATCTCTGCCCAAATCGAATTATATCTTTCTTTTCTGTGTGTGGGTGGGTTGGTCACGATCTGGACACCTGTACCGTCAGAATTGTGACACCTTTTACCCCGAAAAGCAATATAATATTTCACTACCAAATATTAATCTGAAAATTGAGGGGACACTGCTTTAAAAATTTTATTTTATTTATATTTCATTAAGGCAACTAGTTGCATAAGAATCCATCATCATTGGTTCCATTTTAATAACATTACTAGGGGTAGTTTGGTGTGGGAAAATGAAAAAGTATCTGATGGAACCTTCTGTGACTAGTCAGTAATCTATCACATTTGTATCAATGAATTTGATGGCGGGAAAATCCTAAAAATGACTATGCAAATAGGTTATTAATTGACTTTTTGACTGTCTGACTCTCTTTGAATTTCGATGACGTTTTCCCTTCTCTTGTCTTGAGTTTTAGGGTGTTGGGTTCAATTTCTTTAAAAAGGTTGGCTGGCTACATTGTACAAATGTTGTTTAAATGTTGGGTTTTAATCTATTTTGTCTGGTGTTTGTGCTGTCATAAACCGTTTTATATATAAATGTATAATATATATTATATAGTGGAATGATTACTGACATCATAGACGGCCACGAATGACATTTTCCTGACACAGATATTTTGCACAACTGCAATCTTGATATTTGGTAAACGAAAAGGCATGCATGGAGTGAGTAGGTGTCTTTTCACCGGTGCTTGGGAATGACATTTTCCCACTTAGCATATCCCAAACGATTTGGTTACACGTTTCTTAAGCAAAACTTGAACAGTGAATGACTTTTAATAATTTTTTTCCTGATGTTGTAGAATGGATGGCTTGTATATTTCCATTTTATTTTTCAAAACATCCCTTAACCCTAAAAAAGAAAAAAAAAATTAACAAATTGAAGAAGAGAGAAACTGATTAGCACCAGAAATGGTCTATTCGCACGCAAAATAAAAATAAAAATTTGGAGTAAATATAATTAACAAATGTACAGGCTAAAAAGTAATATAATAATAATAATAATAATTTAGGATAAATAATAATAAAATACTAATGTAGCGTAACCATGAAACAGGGAATTCAATAGGAAGATGAAGTCTCAATGAGTTCGTAGAAATTTTCGGAACATTATTATGATTTTTGTGTATTTAGTTATGAATTTTCTAAGAAAAAGTAATAAATTCGTTGAGACACACTGACTGCGCCCCATTCAGCTTCCGCCATGTGTCACCCCACACAAAAAGAAAAAAAAAATTAACAAATTGAAGAAGAGAGAAACTGATTAGCACCAGAAATGGTCTATTCGCACGCAAAATAAAAATAAAAATTTGGAGTAAATATAATTAACAAATGTACAGGCTAAAAAGTAATATAATAATAATAATAATAATTTAGGATAAATAATAATAAAATACTAATGTAGCGTAACCATGAAACAGGGAATTCAATAGGAAGATGAAGTCTCAATGAGTTCGTAGAAATTTTCGGAACATTATTATGATTTTTGTGTATTTAGTTATGAATTTTCTAAGAAAAAGTAATAAATTCGTTGAGACACACTGAC